AATGCAAGAAAAGACTTGAATGTAAAATGCTTGAAATTTATAAATCTTGAACACATACGCATAATTCCTTCACTCGTTTCTCAATTTATGCATATACTTTGAGTATATATAAGTTTGAGTACAATTGCGGACCCATAAAATGTAAATAGACATCCCTTTATGTACTAGTCTAAAATAACTACCTAAACGACCGACTAAACCTATCATGACATGTTTCACTTCCATGTAGTCGTTATCTTCGACGAGACTCTGCGTGCCTTTGAATACTGTTTGTTTCAATTCAGTTCCCGCTCTTTCAACACCATTCAAATATCTTAACTACTTTCACTAGTCGCCGAGAATTGACTTAATGATGTCGGAATCACCAGGATCAACAATGTTGAGACAACATACTTTGTAGTACTTTCCATATGTGATACCCAAGTCAACATTATTTCCATTGTAATGATGAACTCCAACCTTAGCCAACATAGTGTAGTATTCAATCAGACAACGAACCGACCATAATACTTGAAATTTTTGCTAAGTCCACAGACTCTAACAACGCTTATCGACCTTCATCTATTTTGACTAGCTTCGTCATGTACAACTTTTGACATTAAATCAACTCTTGACTTCTGATTGACTACATTCAATTTTAAATTTCCACGTGGCATGCTTATTGGTTTCACTTTCCATTTATAGGTAAATTGAAAAATCGAAGGTAACAAACACATTCTGGAACTTCGATTTAATCTTTTATCCATTGGAAAGTTAGATAATGAAGGATATAATCATTCTTTTTCGACCAATAAATGGAAGTTAAAGAAAGGCTCAATGGCGGTTGCTAAAGGAAAAAGGAATTCAAACTTGTATACCGTCCAACTTGGGGTTTCAATGTGCTACATCAACACTTGTGACAATGATAGCTCATCCGAATTAAGGTATAAACATTTGGGTCATATGAGTGAAAACGATTTGAGCATTTTGGAAAAGAATAATGTGTTGTGTGGTGTTTACAATGCAAATTTTAGAAAGTGGTCGCATGTTTGGAGGGTAAGCAAAGGCGAGTTTCCTTTATGCCATCCAAACTAAAGAGGAAATCGGAACTGTTGAATTTAGTACATTCTGATTTATGTTAATAGATGAAGACATGATCTCTTGGTGGTGCATATTACTTTGTGACTTTAATTGATAATTATTCTCGAAAAACACGGGCTTATACCTTGAAGATGAAAGACCAAGTGTTAGACACCTTCAAGTCATTTCAAGCATCAGTTGAAAGAGAAACGGGGAAAAAGCTCAAGTGTATCCAAACCAATAACGAGGGAGAGTATGTTGTAACTTTCGACAAGTATTGTCAAGATTAAGGTATACGTCATCAAAAGTCTCCTCTAAAGTCATTGCAATTGAATAGGTTAGCCAAAAGAATGAATAGAACTTTGGTCGAAAGGGTGAGATGTTTACTTTTTCAATCAAAGTTGCCAAAATACTTTTAAGGAGAAGCATTGAGTATACTTGTACATCTTTTAAACCTCACTCCATGTGTTCCTTTGAAGTTTGATGTTCCAAATCATGTTTGGAGTGGTAAAGATGTTTTCTACGACCATCTTCAGGTGTTTGGGTGTATGGCTAATGTGCATATTCTGAAGGATGAGAGATCGAAATTGGATGAGAAATCGAAGAAATGTGTGTTTATTAGGTATGGTGTTGATGAATTTGGGTATTTATTCTTTGATGCGGTTCAACAGAAGCTTATTCATAGTTGTGATGTCGTATTCATGGAGGATTATACCATTGAGGATATCGACAAAGTTGAGAATAAAGATCCCATTTTTGAAGGTGAAGAAATGATTAACACAAACTCAACTACTATTACTCACACCCCTATCACTTTCTAAGATGTTCCAATTAAAAACCAAGGTATTGATTTGAATGTTGATAATGTTTTAAATCCTAATGATATTATTGATATAGGTGCAACAGAAGACGTTTGTTGAAAATGAGGTTGATCAAGATGTTTAAAGTGTTAAGTAATTGGTTGCTTCTAATGAGTTGAGGTGGTATACTCCTGATAAAAGGCCTTCTATTTTATACCCCTCGAACGAGTATGTTTTCCATACCGATGGTGGAGAATCCGAAAGCTTTGAAGAATTTTTGGAGTATGGGAATAAAAAGGAGTGTATGGATGCCATGGAGGATGAAATGCAATCACTTCGTGAGAATAATACTTTTGAGTTAGTGAAGTTGACATATGGTAAGAGAGAATTCAAGAATAGATGGTTTTATAAATTTAAGCAAAATGAATGTATTTCTCAAAGAAGATATAAGGTTCTCTTAGTGGTAAAAGGTTTTAAACAACAGAAAGGTGTTGACTTTGATGAGATTTTTGCTCCAGTTGTGAAGATGCAGTCTATTTGAGTAGTTCTTCAGCTAGCTGCTAGTCTTGATTTGGAAGTAGAGAAAATAGACGTGATGATGAATTTCCTTCACGGTGTTCTACATGAAGAAATTTACATGGATCAACTGGATAGATTTTGAAAGATGGGAAAAGAAGGCTATGTTTGAAAATTGGTAAAGAGTCTTTATGGTTTGAAACAAGCTCACCAATGGTATCAAAAGTTCAACTCTGCGATGATTAAATATGGGTACAAGATGACCAAGGTCGATCATTGCGTGTTTTTCTGAAATTTCTCCGAAGGTGATTTCATTATTCTCTAGCTTTATGTGGATGATATGCTAGTTGTTGGAAAGAATATTTCAAGAATTAAAATTTTGAAATATTTCAAGAATTACAAATTTGAAGAAAACTTTGAGTGAATCTTTTTCTATGAAGGATTTAGGAAAGGCTCGAAAAATTCTTGGTATTGAAATTGTTCGAGATCAAAATGAGAAGAAGTTGTACTTGTCACTAGAAATGTATGTGGATAAAGTCCTTCGGCGTTTTAGTATGGATAAGGCTAAAGCGGTGAGCATTCAACTTGCTTTTCATTTCAAGCTTAGTTATAAACTATGTCCATCTACGAATGAAAAAAATTTGAGTATGAAGACCATTACGTACTCGTCCGTCGTTGGTAGTTTGATGTATGATATGATTTGTACAAGACCTAATATTGCTCATGTCGTGGGAATGGTGATTCGTTATCTCTCAAATTCAAGAAAAGATCATTGGGAGACTGTGAAATGAGTGATGAGATATTTGTATGGCTCGTCAAATTTGAAGCAAACCTTGGGATGCAAGAAGCATGTGTTGGTTGGGTATATGGATTCAGATCTGCTAGAAGTTTAGATGATCGAAAATCTACTTCGAGGTATGTGGTGACTTTTGCCGGGGAAGTCGGGGATTGGCAATTAAAGTTGGAAAATATCTTGTACTCTCTATTATTGAAGCCAAGTTTATAGCCATCGTGGAAGGGTCAAAATAGTTGTTATGGTTGAGGAAATTTGCATGGAACTTAGTGTGAAACAAGGAAGGTATGTCTTATTTTGTGATAATCAAGGTGTCATTCACTTATCGAAGAATACCTCCTTTCGCACGAGGTCGAAACATATTGATGTTTTTTATCATTGAATTCATGATGCATTAGATTCCAAGTTGATGGAGCTTGAGAAGATTCAAACCGATGACAACGGTTGGAATATGTTGACAAAGGTGTTGCTTAGGAGAAAGTTTGAGTTTTGTCGCATAGTAGCTAGATTGGTGTTGCCCTCCAACTAGTCGGTTGGGGGAGTTTGTTAGGTTATCCCTCTAATTTGGAGTGACCCAAATGAATGTGAGTTAGTAACTCATGTATGTGTAAGTCTTTGTTATTATAAAACAAAGAGAATTAAGCCAACAATTTATAAAGTGAGAAATAACAAAAGAAAAATTGAGAGAAGAGTGAAATTCCTGCAACCCCAATTCAGCACAGAGCAGTCCACGAGATTAGTGTTTTCTCACAATTCAATCGTCGGATCATCCTGATTTTTTATGACAATGTCTAACACTCATAGAGGTATTTTCTGAACAATAGAGATCATATTTTGAGTATTATGTGTCTGTCTAAAAAGTCCACTTTTGAAGTGCAGTTTTTTGTGGTTGTTTTGGTTGATTGTCTCTCTTGATTCTTGCTGTATTCCAAAATTAATTGTAGATCTTGCATCCTCCTTTAACTATAAGTTGTTTTTATTTGAATTTATGAAAAACGACTTAAATTATTTTAACAATCTTTTAAATTGTGTTAAAAAATTAATAGTTTCGTTAAAAGATTAAGAGTTCAATTGATTGTTATCAGATATATGTTAGGATGTTGAAGTTACATCTCTTTTTTTTTATCTTTAAAAATGAATTTTAATCATTAAATTATTTTTAAAAATTTTAAAAACCTAATTTAGCTCAAAAACAAAACAATTCAACTATTTTTTTGAGCTTTCTAAAACGGTGAATAATTGTTTGGCCATGGATTAGCCGAGATAAGTTTAGACAAATTTAATAATATTTCAGTCTAAGATTTGAATTTCACCCATTAATAAAATTATAATTTTAGTAAAAAAAAGAGTAATTTTATAATATTTATGTCAAAAGACAAACTCAAATACTTAACTAAACATAGAGTCATTTTTATTTTACAAGTGGAGAGACAAATATTAACTAAAACGAAAATGTAAAATGAGAAAAGACAGGGCGGCTTACCAAGTAGAAACAGTAGTTATGAACATGGCACTGCAGCATCGATAAACAGTCGCGGGGGTTGGTGGGTGACCCTAACATGCCACTGCATAATTAATTATTAAAAATAAAAATAAAAAATAAGAAACAGTATAAGTTTGAACAGAGATAAGATAAAGCGCATAAATCATATCAGTGCACCAGCTCCCCCACTATCTTGCTTCGCATCACCAAATTCCAACCCACACTCTTTCATCATTCTTCGCTTCCTTTTTCGGTAATCTTACATCTCCTTTTTTCTTCTTTTCTTCAATTTACTTTCACAATCTAGTAATAACGGTTTTGTTGCATGTACGCTTTAGCAGCCGTAAACATGTTGATCAAGGTGAAGAACTCGACAATGGTGCGTCCGGCGGGGGAGACACCTCCAACTGCCATATGGAATTCCAACGTCGACTTGGTGGTTCCGAATTTTCACACACCGAGCGTGTATTTCTACCGACCAAACGGTGCATCCAATTTCTTCGATGCTAAGATCATGAAGGAGGCTTTAAGCAAGGTGCTGGTTCCGTTCTATCCGATGGCAGCTCGTCTCCGCCGTGACGACGACGGTCGCGTTCAGCTTTACTGCGACGGTCAGGGAGTGCTTTTTGTTGAGGCTGATACAACTGCCTCCGTTGATGATTTCGGAGACTTCGCTCCCACTCTTCGACTCCGTGAGTTAATCCCAGCCGTTGATTACTCTGCCGGTATTGAAACGTATCCACTGTTGGTGTTGCAGGTGCGTTTTCTTTCGTGTTTGTCCAGTAGTTTACTTCACTTTCTAGAAAACGTTTCAGCAAACTTTTTTTTCTTTTCTTTTTCTTTTTGAATTTAATTAATTAATTAATTTAGGACCTTAGTTATTTTTGTCCATCCAATTACAATCTTTTATTTTGAATAACTTTATGTAACTATAACTTATTTTGTTTTTGAAAAATATATAATATGCACTTATAAAATAATTTAACGTTAAATTATATTTTTTTATGAAATGATATATTATTAATTTTTTATGGAACGATAATTAAAAGTTATTTTAAATTCGGTGCACATAGATTAAACTTTTCATTGCTTTTCTTTTTAAAATTTATAAAAACTATTTTTAATAAAAATGTAAGGAAAACATTTTAATTTATTAATATCTTATAATATTTCCGATATTTTACTCATTCTATTCCTATATTCCTAGTTATATTCTTTATTTATAAATTAGCCATATTTTCCAAATAAGGCTGGATTTGTTTGAATATAGTTCCTTGAATTGGACATTTTGAATTATTCTCATTTTCTCTGACATCGTTTAGCAAAACTCTTATTTTGCTTCTTCTTTTTTAATTCTTTTTCTTTAATTTTATTTTGGCCTTTTTCCATTTCTATCTATCAAATTACTCTGTGTATTAAAAAAACGAGACTTTTATTTATGATTTTTTACATATTTTTTCTTATTTTAGGAAAATAATTATTTACAAATTTATAAATAAATTTAATTTATTCTTTTTTTTGTTGATTTTATAAAAAAATGAACTTTAACAAAATAGAATGAGAAATATATTCAATATTACTATATTATAATACTCCTAAATAAATATTTTATACATGTTTTACTCCTTCTATTTCATAGTATTTGTCATATTGAGAAAAATAATTGTCTTAAAAAAATTGGTTCTTTTTATTTCAATGTAATTTTTAATTATTTATTTTAAAATTAAACTATCTAATTAATATTATCTGTCTTACCTTGAAATTTGTATTTACTCCTTTGAATTTATGACATGAAATTTATTAAGCAATTGACTTAGTGTGTGTTTGTTTCCGCTTTTGGAATAAAGAAAAATCACACGTCTAATCAAAGCTAATATTTGCAGCTTTAGAAAATCACAGTAAATTATGTATTGGTGCGCACAAATAGACTACGGCTAAATTAACGTTCTCTTTTCTTATTTAGGACTGATTTTTTTTATAAAAAAACTTGTGGAATATTTAAAGGGAAATGACCGCTATTTAAATATTATAGAACGAACTTGTATTTTCTTTAGAATAATTTTGGATTCGAACCTTTTGTATTTTCTTTAGTTTGTTACTGTACAGTATAATTTATGGACATTTGATTTGAATTCGTTGTCCGTTTAAAGACCAACCCTTGCTAGAGTTTGAACAAGATTCATAAATTAGCATAAGTTTCAGTGTTATTAATTGAGATAGCTGAACCGAAATCGTAGGTACTACAGTACTAACTTTAAATTTCGGTGCAACCTTTAACAATATGGGTCAACATTCACATGTTTCTCTAAGTGGAGAACCTTAATTAATTTAGTGGGTTCGCAAGAATTTTAGGCTAATGATATGATGAGGCATTATAGTGCCATTTATGAAATATTGCACCACATTTATAGTAGAGAAACCAACCACCTAAGAATTTGGCTTGACTTACTTTATACAATACATGCAGGTAACGTATTTCAAATGTGGAGGAGTTTCTTTAGGAGTTGGTATGCAACACCATGTAGCTGATGGAGCCTCTGGTCTTCACTTCATCAACTCATGGTCTGATATGGCGCGTGGCATTGATGTTTCCATTTCGCCATTCATTGATAGAACCTTACTCCATGCTCGGGATCCGCCTCGACCTGTTTTTGATCACATTGAATACAAACCTCCACCAGCAATGAAAACTGATCATCCCTTACTGCAACCGGCAAAACCAGACTCAGATACTACTGCTGCGGTGTCTATCTTCAAATTGACCCGTGACCAACTCAACATCTTGAAGGGTAAGTCTAAAGAAGATGGAAACACTATCAACTATAGCTCTTATGAGATGTTGGCAGGTCATGTATGGAGAAGTGTAAGCAAAGCAAGATCACTTCCTAATGATCAAGAAACAAAACTGTACATTGCAACAGATGGAAGATCAAGGCTTCAACCTCCACTTCCACAAGGCTACTTTGGCAATGTGATATTCACAACAACTCCAATAGCAGTGGCGGGGGATTTAATGTCAAAACCAACATGGTATGCTGCTAGCAGAATCCATGATGCATTGTTACGAATGGATAATGCTTATTTGAGATCTGCTTTGGACTATCTTGAGCTACAACCTGATTTAAAAGCTCTTGTTCGTGGAGCACATACTTTTAAGTGTCCAAATCTTGGTATCACTAGCTGGGCAAGGTTACCGATTCATGATGCTGACTTTGGTTGGGGAAGACCTATATTCATGGGACCTGGTGGGATCGCATATGAAGGACTATCTTTCATCATTCCAAGCTCAAAAATTGATGGTAGCTTGTCTGTGGCAATTGCTCTGCCTCCTGAGCAGATGAAACTGTTTCAGCAATTTTTCTATGATATTTGAGAGGGATTCATTCATTCAACCTATATATAGGTATACTTTGGGAATGATATAATCTTTCTAAGGATGTGTTTTCTTTTGACGATATACTACTTTTCATGCACAATCACATACTTGTTTTTGGTGACCAGATAGTAGTATATGGCTTGGAAAAGTGTATAATGTACACCGTCTCAAAGTAAAAGCTTTTAAGGATTATGTACATGCACAAATTAAGAAAAGTAATGAATATTAAGAATTTTATAAAATTGTCCATAATTGTTATGGGTTATACAAGCATTGTTTTAAGGGTAATGCAAACACTATTAATTAAGAGTAAAATTAGAGTGAGAAATTCTATAGAAACAAGTGTATAATTCATTTGACATCACATTTAAACAAAATTTGTGATTGCTTTCGATATTTTGTTCTAGTGTAAAAAATGTTCCTCAGACTCCCGTGCTCACATGATTGTGTTTCTAATATTTCATCTCATTCTGACAACCGTTATTTTCACTTATGTAAATGATTTTATAATTATTTTGATCACATTAGCATTATAAAAACTTACTTATGTAAATGATTTTATAATTATTTTGATCACATTAGCATTATAAAAACTTGCAAAGTTATGAAATGATACACTAGCATCGCAAAAACTTGTAAATTTATGTATGGTCAATTAGCTTGTAAATTGATTTGTGAGTATTATTATTTCCTTTAAAATGTAAAATTACAAAAATTTAAACAAATAAAAGTGTTATATTTGACTTGAGGTCGGAAGAATATCAATCCTTTAGGATATTGAGAAGAGAAATAATAAACATGACTTGGTATCTAAGAATGATCATGATAAAAGTAGTTTTGGCGTCTTTAGTGGTGTTGAGACACTCTTAAGAAAAATCAAAAATATTTTTATGATTCGAAGATATATTTTTAGATACATCACATCACAAGCACACCTCATCCATAGGTAAATAAGTTATATAATTGTTTTGTCAAAAATGAATAAGGAGATGCATCTTCGTAACTAATACGGAAATGTACTCTGGATGAAGTTTGAGTCAAATACACGTAAGACTAGGGGTGTGCAGAATCCAACCCAACCCGAAGACCCGTCCCAATCCAATAGCTTCGGGTTAGTCTTTTTCTCGTCTCATGTAAAAAAATGGAAAAACATGACTGTTCAAAAATAAACCCAGTATCAAGTGAGACGGGTTCGGGTTGACCATCGGGTTACCCAACCCGTCCTAATATTATGAATGCACATGTGGTACTATTTATTTATTTAATTTATTAACATATTTAGATTATTCCAAATTAACAATAGACATTTTCACTTTTCACCTCATAATTTAATATATGCACTAAGTAAATACTAAGTACACATCTTCCTACTTTCCAACTTTCACACTTTTCTAGTTCTCTTACATCATGTTTTTTATTTTACATCTTCTTACTATGTTTTAGGGAAAATAAAAAGGTGATGACATATATAGAATTACATCATATTTTTTATTTTTAAAAATTGACTTTAGATGTATTCATTGTTTTTCATTCATGCTAATGATTTTATTCATATTTTTTATTTAAATGAATTTTTTAAAATACTATAATAAACTTTTTAAGTCACTAAATTTTTTTCTCCATATATTTCGGGTCAACCCGATATCGTCTTACTTTAACCCGGTCTAAACTAACTTATATATTATCGGGTTTTTTACGGATTTAGGTACGGGTTCGGGTCATTAAAATAGCCCGATCTAAATTTAGGACAGGGTTAGAGTTAGTCATAACCCATCCCAACCCGTCCCTTGCTCACCCCTACGTAAGACTTTTCCTCATCCTCATTTTCACCCAAATTTACCAAATTAGAATCATGTCTCAAACTTCTCTTATACTGCACATGTGCTTTATCAATCCAAGTATCTTTTCTACTCCATTCAATCCAAGTGGTTTATGAGTTACTTATCAACAACTATTCAATCCAAGTTCAATCCAAGTGCTTCATGTTTAACTACACATTTGATAAGTTTTTTCATTTCCTTTTTTTTTCTCTTCATGCATTATGAGATAAATACATTATGTTGTTTAAGAAATATTGCTATATAGGTCGTTACACTTATTGTTAGGTAGTTTATTGAGTCATGTGTCTTGTGCCATTTTTCGTTTTCTCTATTTTATGCCATTTTTTCGTTTTATGTGTTTCAAGAAACTACGAAAGTGCACTTCTGTATTTTGTCTGAATTTGATTTTCTAGAAATATGGAACAACATTTTCCTATTTTGTCTGTAGTAATTGATTTTGTTGTCTTTCAACTTTGTTTAAACTTTTTCCTTTGTATGTTTTGTCTAGTTTAATTATAGGTAACATCACGGACAAAAAAGAACGATAGAGGCAGGATAGAGTGTTCCAGCATACATCTGTTCGCAAGAAGAGAGACTGGCCCTCGCGGTCAATGATTGATGCTAGTTCATATTATGCAAAAGCGTCCACTTCTGAAGTTCAGATGTCTCCGCCTTCGCCTTTCCAGAGGCAAGTGTCACCTGCTGCTGCCCCGGAAGCCTTGACCAATCTATGTTGATGCACCTGATGTCGCCTAACCATTCCTGATGTTATTCCTGAGGAATTTGGAGGAGGCATTTATGACACGTCACTACTACCTCTGTATGCAAACCATACTGTTAAGCACGTGTGGGTCAGAGAGGTAAAATTTATTTGTATTTATTCTTTGAAACACATGTGTTATAATATTCTAATTTTCTAATGATTATGTATTTTTTTATAGTACCGTGATGCTTTAAAATGTATCAGCCTGAGGATATATTGTTTTATGATGCCATGTAGCTATCTGAGCTTTAAGGTTTATGTTTGATCGATTATACTTTTATTAACCATGGAATGCTGTCAATGTTTGTTGAGAGATAACACTTAGAGACATCATTTTTCATCTTTCGCATGATGAGATGTCCATCACACTGGATGATGTGTCATCCCATCTACATATTTTGGTCAGTGGAAGATTATTAAACCACTCCACAATGACTATACCTGATGCATTGGATATGATGGTGACCTATTTGAGAGTTGACCCAGAGATTTCTCTAAAGGAGCTAGAAGACACCAGGAGGTGTCACGCTAGATTTGCATTCCTTGAAAAGTTATATACAGATCACCTAGGTGCAGCACTTGAGGTCGGTGGTGATGATGCATATGTTATGCATCATAGACCATGTGCATTGAGTTCATACCTCATGTATTTGGTTGGTGTTATGAATAGGATGCCTTGAAACAAAATATAAACGGTTTCTTTATATCCAAGAAACACACAAAGGTTAGGGTTAACAAAGAAAACAAGGTAAAACAACAAAGATTGGTTATAAATTGTTATTCTTTCTTTTCTCTATCAAACAAGATTACAAGTATACAAGAATAACAAATAATCTCTCTCTCTCTCTCTCTCTTGAATTAGGAGTTTATCTTCCTATTTTTTCCTTATGCAAGATGAGAGACTAGCATGTTATTTATAAGAAAACTAGCACACTAACCTAATGGACTTTTTAATAATTGCCCATTACAACCTAACTTATGGTACAAGCTAACTTAAACAATTCGGCTTACAAGCAAAACCCAATTCAACATGCTAATAACCTAGCAATATTGACTACATGTTAGAATAAACTTCGACTACAACATGCGTTACTCTGACAACAGCATGCAAACAGACTTCGACCTCATGCTTAACTCACGTCGAACCAGAAGCTAACCTTCAACCTATTGGCTGGAAGTTTCGACTAAAGAAATGCAACACAGAGACTAGCTTGTGGGTCGACAGGCTGGGAAAGGTGGTGAAGGAAATGAGGTGAGCCGACCCAACAGAGGAAGGCTTGTGGGTCGACTCAGGCATGTTCTGTCAACAAGGTTGACTGATGGGAAAGGAGGCCAACACATAGGAGGAAAACATTTGAATGGAAAGAAAATTTGAAAGCTGGGAACGTGGGAAGTTACAGAAGTGGTGGAAGGACACGTGGCGCCACCAAATTCAACATGGCAGTTATTTTATTTTCCTATTTAAGGCAATGCCCTGTTTCATTTTAGTGGACACATTTTGTAACATTGTAAGGGAAAAACACTTTGAGTACCAAACGTTAAGAGAAAAAAGTTACATTCCTGCAAAATGTATGATCGCATCCACATTTCCTCTTAATAGTAATTTATATCATTAACTTTAAAGATTTCTTGTCTTGTTGTTTTTGTCTTTTCTTGTTTATGCATTCATCTTTATTTAAGTTGACACAATCTTTCTTCAACCTACTCTAAACAACACCATTCCACCACCATCTCATACACTCGACCAGTACGTTACGGGACTTGTTTGGCCGGTCCCGCAAGTAAACCTGCATTAGGAGGTCAGAGATTGTTCGCGAGAAAACTGTGTGCGAACAAATTAGCACACCTGGTGGGACCCTCCGGTTTGAGTGTATGCATCTACGCAGTGGTAAGATGGTGATACCACGTCCAAATGAAGAACCATCTTCGGAGGGAAATACGATTGTGACTCAAACAACCGACGTTGGTGCTGACGATGTGTCTGCGGTTTCGACTGCTCATAGTGGGACTATCGTGACGCCACGTCGACCTAAACCCAAGCCTATGGTGACAGGAACTGGGGGGAAATATATGCCTAGTTTCACAATGCCCATACCCCGAGCCTTTAGGATGCCGACAGAGTTCATGTCGAGCCTGCATCACAGCGACCTACTCTTTGGGGAAAGCTCTTCGTCAGCTTTTTCGCCGTATCAGGGGTTAGGGCCTTTAACGAACCAAGTTACTAGACCCCTAGGGTTTAGTGTTCCGTCACATTTGATTCCAACTTTCACTTCAAGTTCTGTTGCCATTATGAGACAACAGATGGATGAAAGTAATCACGAAATGGTCCACATGTTGACCCAGTAAATGAGCACCATATTAAGACCACTAATACAAGATTCAACTCAGAGTTACCAACAATTGGCAACTCAGAT